AAGGCCCTAAAAAACCAGTTACAGAAAATCAGAACGGCCTATCTAGGGAAATTCTTATAGTTGCATGAAATCCATCACGTGGACTAAATGACTTCAAGGTTGATTTAATGCAACACCCATGGTCTGACACCAATTTGGAAAACGTCCAAAGTGTTGTTCATACTTATCATTAGAACTACCCGTTCTAATTCCACATGAAATTGACAAGACATCTCCTCAGGAGGGTCGAACCTTAATATCTTCAGCCTATGGGAACTCAACCTCAACTGCTAAAGAAGTTCTTCCATTTAAAACACCACTCAGAATATGAGTCAAGAGCAAGAATGTCACTCACATGGCGGAAAAGAGGCGAATACGACAATTCATCAAGGTATTCGTCCGGGAACCTATGAACTAAGACTTTCTACGCATTTTCTGTGGATTCCTACGTGTCAAACGATGGAAAGGAACATTCACCTTGCAACTCTGCTGGCAGCATCATGATATCAGTTGTCACAATCAACTATCAATGAGAAAGAAACGAAATTCCAATTTCAATAAAATATGTCCACTCGCCTCATGCGAGTCTTTATGAATTTCAGAATTATAGAATGGGACACATAAATACTTTGTCATCTTGGAATCTCATATCCAGAAAATTATCAATTCCAGCTAGAAGTCAATCAACAACATAGATTCCTACCCACTAGAATAGAGACACCCAATTCTGGAAATGATCGAACAGAAGAACATCAATCATTGATTTGGAATCTAGAAAGTTGCAGAAATTCCCATAGTCGCATTTGACTCCAAAAAAAAGAACCAATAGAAATTTAGTATTGAATGGATATGAAATCAAATAACGATCGAATCTTTAAAACCCTGTGACTGAATGAGGATCTTCGAAGCCAAGATTACCAAGTCTCGCACCAGTGATCACCGTACACTAAAAGAAAATGAACGCTATAACATGTTTCCGTATTAGGAACAAAATTACCAAGACTACTATTCGAAACAAGAAGCAGTCTTGATCTTAGAGTAACATTGATTCATGATAGAAAGATAATTTGAATCAAAATACAGTTATCAAGTAGAAAGTCTAACTCTAGTTCAAAACAGATCAAGACTAGAGCTCGAATTTAGAATTCCAAAAGCAAAATGGCAGAGAATGGTATATGATTAATATCCATAGTCAATGTCTCACAATGACATGGTTCAAATTAACGAGGGAATCACCGAGACTAACACTCGTGACAAGGAAGAATTTCGATTCCTGAGAGACATAAGACTATGATAGAAAAATTTCACGAATCAATACACTAATAATAACGAAGAGACCAACTCCTGGTCAAAACGGATTAAGAAAAGAATTCGAAGTTGGAATCCTGGAACCTGTGGGTTATGACCTACCACGCTTCCCAAACAAAAGCTGAACATAATTTAATATCAGAGATAAGCGTCAATCTCTCGACGAAGTCCATAGCCACCATCGTTATCAATAGAAGAAAGAACGACGTCTCATCAACACAAGAACCCATGAAGTAAACACTTTTGAGCAAAACACTCTCAAGAGATAAAAGAATGCATCAGTGAATTGAAACGAGTAGCTAGGATACAAAGCTAGATTGCAACACTAAACTTGTGCATTGATCAAATCGGAAAGAACCAATCAAGGAGGAAGGAAACTTTAATGATCAAAACTGCTCGATTTCAAGTCATCGCTCTCCATCAACTTAAACCCCCTCGTTAGACGCATCAAAAGTGGAATGGACAAATATCGGGAATTCAACCACGCGGAAGTCCGAACGAATATCATCTCGAAACTGAAATCTTCATGAGAATTTCGAAGTCAATACTGATTTTGAATTTGAAACTGACAAGAGTCAAGAGAACTTATAGAAACAAATCTATAACTATCGGGTCGAAATCAATACTTCTCGAAAACTTCAAAGTCAACTTTACCCTCGATCCTCATATCGATAAACATCGATAATAGAAACATGAATTCCATCCATCAAAGTGCTCTAGGAAAATTGAAACGGACTCTAACGTCAAATTCTCAAGTGCAACTGTATCATGTAGTAACTAATATTGTACGACATGTCCCGACACAAAACTGTTAAAAGAACAATACAACTCAGTAAAAACTCACACAGGCTCGATTTCCCATAGAATTCAAAGCCGTGCTCTGATACCAAAAACTGTCACGACCCCAAGGATAGGGCCGTGATTATTTTAAAATTTAACTTAATTAAACTAGACTGTTTAACCAAATCACAAAATAATTACATAAATATCAATATAGTTTGCTCCGGAGACTTTCTTTCACAAATAATATTTAAAACAATCAATTAAGTCCAAGAAAAATAGTACAACTCAGGGACAATGTCGACCAATACAGTTTGCATACAAAAATACAGTACATCTCAGAATTTAAAATCATAAATCTGAAACAAACGTACCGCTTCGAATCTCACATCTTCAATCCATTGGCATCCACTTGTCACGCTGCAAATCTAAACCGCTAACTCTGGACGAGGGGTTTAAAACATTAAAAACATAATAAAAGTGAGTGGAAGGCCCAGTAGGATATAATTTTATAAAACATTTTAAATAAAGGTACTCACGGTCCGAAGACATACACCCGGAACCGATCATCCTTTTTAGAAAAGGAAATACTCACATAGTAGAAAATATCTGTATAATGAAAGTGTGCAGCTCATCATACCACTGAACAAGGAGCGGTAAAATGTCTGTCTAGTGACCCGTGCAGCGCCATACTTTCACTACCCAGCCGTGGATCCGTACGGGTTTCGGGACCTGTCCCCAAGGATGCGATTCCCACATCCCGATCTCTGAGGCCACCATGCGTTGTATCATTCCTTAAAGTATTTCATTTTAAGAAATGATACTCTTTAAAATCTCATTTCCAAAATCATTGGAAAACTTAATAGCATTCTCATGCTATTCCTTTGAAATCATTTTTTTTAAACATGTTTTGTTCTAAAACATTTTCATTGGCCCAAATCATTTAAAATGAGGCTAACAAGGATATGGACAAGAATATCCTACCTCTCGGATGTCAAACCTAGGCTAGCCTTCCGTTCTCCTAACCTCCGCTTTCCTTAAAGTTTTAATACTTGACCTTCTCCACTAGCTTTATCACAAAAGCAATATCTTAGGAAATATTTCTCATTCCTAAAACGAATTAAGCTCAATCATGTTTAATTGTTTCCTATTAGTGTGCCTTGACTCAAATCCAATTCACAAACGATTTTATAATCAGTTTGAGGGTTCTTTAAAGATTGAAATCCAATCCATGAGTTTAGTTTCCTATTTGATTTCAGCTTAAAAACAACTTTTAAAAGAAATTTCGGCAGCATGCCGGCATAAATAGAAAAAATGCCAAACCTGCAAATCAATTTCAATTTCAAAATAATTCTCCAGAATCCATCAAAATCAGTTTCCAATCAACTAAACAAGTCAAATAACTAAAAACCCCTAAATTTCAATCAATTTTAACAACAATTGTTCAAATCCAAACCCTAACTCAAAATTATTCAAATCTAACAAAAATTAAACTTTCTCAAGCTTAAAATTCGAATCAAAGAATAGGTTTCAAAGGGTTTTACCTTAAATCAATTGATGGAGCTTTGTCTCCCTCAGTTTCTCCCATTTTCGTTCGTTTTCTTCCTTTTTTTTGTGTTTCTCTCGGCCAAACTGCAGAGAGAGTACTTTATAAATAAAATAAGGTGACACATTGGTGTACAAAATAATTTCTCCTTTTAGGCGAAGACTTGCTGTAATTCACAATTGTCCAATTAATGCACACCACCGCTATTTAACACGTGCAGTTCCTTGGAAATTTTTTGGATACAACCACTCACTTTTCCATATGCAAGTTTTGGCTCTAACTAAATACGTGTCCTCATTACGTTTTTGCTAAGGGAAAAATACCTCTTAAAATATTAACTAAAAATATTGTTTTTTGTTTGGAGGAAATGATCTGAAATTTTGAATAAAAAAAGTATATATATGGTATAATCAACTTCAACTACAGCTTGTTATTTTTTGCTTGAAAGTCTATATCTTGTTATTTTTTTTGAGCAAAATAATAATATTATTTTCATTCAATCAAGTTCAATACTAAAAAGAAAATTGTTGACATCACACTTTTTTTGTATTGTATAAATTAATTCAGACTATAAATTTATACTATTTATGTCATATTATAGTGAATTTATAATTAATATCGGGGTTGAACACAATTAAGAATTGACATCAGGGGAGCATTGAGTTATAATGTCAGAACTAATAATTTTTTAAAAATTGAGGGGGCACAATGCAAGTTTATATATTTTTAAAACTTGCATTTTGACCTCTAAATTTTTTAAAAGTATATTTTGACCCTAAAAGTTTTTAAAAATTATATTTTGACCTTGAATTTTTTTAAAAATTAAATTTTAACTCTAAAATTTTTGAAAATTGAATTTTAATCTTAAAATTTGTAAAATTTTATATTTCACTATTTTATATAATACGTCATGACACAAAATATTACATTATATGATAACAATACAACATAATATAATACACATTATGTAATACAATACAATACAAATAACTATATATGTCCAAATATTATTAATATTTTTTAGACGCATAAATTCACGCACGAATAAAGTATTTTTTCGTACCTTACCCAGTTTTTTTTTTTTTGTTAATCACCTTACCTAAAATTTGATTCAAGTTTCCTTTTCTCTTATAATTTGTCTAAATTCCGTTCACTTCGCTGATTCGAGTTTGTAATTCGAGTTGAGATGTGATTTTGTGTGAGAGTTTTTTACTGTAATAAAAAAATTAGATGTGACTGTTTTTAAAAATTTTTTACTGTAACAAAATTCGAATCGACGAAATGAACGAGGCCTTAGACATTGTTGATTGATATTCCATTTCTTCTTCTATATTTTTCTTGAACCATACAAAAAAGAAAGAGAGAAAATAAAAACAAATATCTTTCTTTTCCATCAAACCAAGCAATCTCTCTTCTCCTTCTTTTGTTCAGACCAAACATCTGTTTATCTCTTTAGCTTTCTGAATCTCTTCCGTACATTATTTTCCCTGACCGTACGTCCTAGAAATCCCAACAAACAAACACTTTTCCCTCCCTCTCTCTCTCTTTCTCTTCTTTTTCCGCTGTGATCGCAGAGCCACAGATCAAACTAAACCTCTCACTTTTTTTTCCCCTTCTCAGCCGCTAATTTACAAGTTTGCTAACCATGGGAAAGCGAAAGCGAGTTTCTGATCACAATCAGATCGAGCCTTCTTCGGGTACGTTTCGAGCTCTTCTTTTTTATAATAATAATAATAATAATTTTTTAAAAATAATACGTGTCTGTTTGGTTCCCGAGAAAATGCAGTGAAAGGAAAGGAAAAACCGGACGCCGAATTGTGACTTAGAAAATTTGAGTTAATCAGAGCCTCCCACTTTTTAATTTAGTCAAAATTTCGGTACATTTACAGGAGTTTTGTCCTTTTTAAGTTTGTCCAATTTGTTTTTTAAGTTTGTCCAATTTGTTCGATACTTCCAAGGGGATTTCAATGGAGGTTTGGGGTTACTGTTTCAGTTATGCTATACGTGCTCTATCAATTGCACTCTCTTGTAAATAATTGTGGATTTGTTATAATTTGCTTCTTTTTTTTTTTTTTTTTTTTTTTTTGGGTTTTTTTTTTTTTTTTTTTTTTTTTTTTTTTTTTTTGGGTTTATGTTCTTGTTTAATGTTTATCAAATATAGAACCGATTTGGGGATTTCTTTTGTGGGAGAATGATGTCGTTTTTCATGTTTTGCTGTCGTATACGACTTGTGTCTCCTGTTCCTTTACGCATTTTTGTTCCAATGCATTCTATAGTGGTTGAGCTTCTTAGCTCCCCATCTACAGCATTTTTGCTGACAACTAATCTGGGCTTGATGCTGATAATCATAAGGGTTTGGAGCAATTTATTATCATATATATATATATATATATATTTGATCTTGGGGTGTGGATTTAAACCCTACACCTCAAACTAGAATCAAGGACCGCTAGATTATACCTGCAACCACATTTAAACTTATTAATTCACTTAGAGGTGGGTGTGGAATTTCCTCCGCGCATTTTTGGATGTCAAGGTCATATGTGAACTTCATTAAAATATGTAGTAGCGTGTTTTTTTTGGGGTCCTATTATAGGATTCCCCCAAAGCCTTTGTCCAGGGTATCTTGGTCCGCGGTTTTGTTGTTACCTTTGGAGCAAAGAGTCCAAGCGCTTGATTGTGTTTCTTCTATGGGATGTTTTGAAGAGAAGTTGAGAAGATTTTGGTTTTGGTTCTAGTTGTCACTTTTCTTTTCATTGATGCTTTTTTTCATACCATTACTACAATTTTTTTCATGCTAAATAAGATCGCCGTGATGATTTTTGTTTTTTTCGGAATGTTGCAGATACCATGCCATGCTCCTTAGGAATGGAGTTATTATCAGAAGAGGTACCTTAATGAGAGAGTGCATTTGTTATGATTTTTCTTAGGGATTAGCTGTGATAAATTCTCATGTTCTCTCTTATTTCAATGTAAGAAATTGGAGAGGACCATTGTTGTATAATTCTTTTCAACCCTTTTTTTTTTTTACAGAAACGTTTGAATGCAATTGATTCTAGTGAACTAAAGCCTCTTTCATCTGTGTTGGATATTGCGGATAGTTCTACGAAGCTCCAAAATGTCCACCACCCTTCTACTGCAAATCAGCATCAGAGCCTTGGCCATTCAATTTTTCTAAAACGCTCTCGCCATCACTATGCACATCAGTACTCTAGACGTGGCTTGGCCAATCTTGCTAATGCCTCAACTTCTCGTGGCAAAGGCACTTCTTTGCGTGATGATAAGCTGTCCTTCAAGTTTGCTACTCAATGCAACTCAGTGTTGGGAAGGCATTCAGGTTCTACTATTATTTATATATTCACTTTCTTGTTTTGTTTTCCTTTTTAATTTATCGCCACTCTATGGTGGCGTTGAACACAATGGGCGCGTTTGGAACTCGTTCCAAAATGATTTTGTTTTTTGTATGAAAATGAAAATGAAAACGTTTTCAATCTCAGACAGAAATTATTTTTGAAAATGTGTTTGGTAGTTTTATTAAGAGATTGTTTTCAGTATAAAAAAACCCATTAATGTCTCTCTCTCTGCTCGAGAGAGGAGAAAACGAAAACAAAAAATGAAAAACGACTAAGAGTCGTTTTTCATTTCTCTCATTTACACTAAACTAAAAAATCATTTTCATTTCTATTTTTTGTCTTTATTGCGCCAAACGCCTTTTTGAAAACGTTTTCATTTTTTCTTTCTCAAAAAACGTGAAAAACAAAAACGGGATCAATTCCAAACACGGCCAATGATTTTTGGTTCTCCACAGTTATCAGTTAATGAGAACCAAAGTATCGACTTAAAATTAATAAAAGCATGGATAATGTAACCACTTGTCTTGTTCTTGACTGAAAATACCAAATTAGAGGAAGTGACTCTTGGTAGTTAACATGACTATGGATTAAGCCATTTTCACCTTCACAAGGCTGACTCTTCGGATCTTGGAACATAAGCAAGGGTTTGAGTTTTTTCACAAGAAATACTTTTGGGTTATGAGTTGTTTCTCGTACAATGGTTTTCTTTCTAGCTTCAAATCTACAATGTTTTACTCTACTTGTTCTTGTATTGACTTTGGTATTCCATTTATTTTCTTTTTACAGAATACAAAGACAAGGCATTTTTCCGGCCTGAAAGGATCAGGTCTAGTAATTCTTTGACAAGAGACACAGTATCAACCGATCTACTGAAGTTGGTGTGTGAGATTTGTCAGAAAGCGCTGATACGGAAGATTTGTATTCCTGATATGCCATTCGCAACTGTTGACCTCTTGGAAGTGGCGGTTCTAGCGTGTGGCCATTCTTTTCATGCAGAATGTTTGGATCTGAAAACAAATTTTGAGGATAAACGAGACCCTCCATGCCCGTCTTGTATGGGTTTATTGTCCCAGATCGATGATGACGAGGAGGAAGAGGATTAGTATGTGAAAGGTTATAAGCTCTACACCATGATGTACTAATATCTAGAGAAGAGGATATACTTACATGGAAAGCTTAAAGTTATATAGGAAGCTTGTTTGTTCCAAGATGACCTTTTGGTAGGCTTAGTGGGTTTTGTTTTGTAGTATTCTTAAAGGGTTTTGTTTGTTTGTTTGTTTTTTTTTTTTTTTTTTTTTTTTTGTTGTGGGGGGGGGGGGGGGGGGAGTTTAGATTAGAAGAATGACTTATCTCCTGTTGAGAGGTTAGAGACGCTAATTATGTAAAACTTTGGATGCCACAATAATGTAGCATGTAATCGTTTGTATTATATGGGATCTTTTTCCCAGTTTTGGATCGTAGAAACGAGAAAGCTGCTGCGTCTGAGTTCATTTCATGTTCACATTTTCGCTTTGTCAAAGCTATGCTTATGAATGAATAACAAATTTGTTTGGAATTATACTGGAGATTAAGTTGTGTGTGTGTGTGTGTGTGTATTTATTCAATATTTTATGCTTGCATTTTGAGTTATCATAAAGTATCTTTGTATTTTGGATGTTCTTAACATTGTACTTGTGAATTTAAATTCACGTTCACCACCTAAATTTTTAGGTTAACAACTGATATTGTGCGGTTTGAAAATACAAGTTCTATAAATTTCTCTCTATCTCTCTTAATGCAACGTTTAAGTTTTGTCTAGTTACAGATTTATGATTTATCTTTAAGCGACAAAGGGTTCATCAACTTAGGCCTGTTTGTTTTGTGGGTTAATGTGGTTTGAACTCATGAATTTGGTTTAAACTGGTGTTTGCATTAGTTAAGATAGTTTTAGAACCTGATGTGATTTTTGAACTTTCTTAAGTTCACACAGTTTGAACCTATTTACTATAAGAAAATGAGAAAATGCAACAAACAACATTTTTTATATATGCATTTGAAGTATATAGCATAATAGTAAATAATATCATGTGTTAGTTTTTCATTCTAACAAATATACTCTTTCCTAAATTTACGCCACTCGTTAGGGTTTTTTTTGTTGGAGAATTTGAGTGTAGAGGGGGAAAAGAATGCAGAAACAAGAGAGAGTTTGAGGCGTATAGAAATACTTTCCTTTAAGGTTTTATTTTCCCTCACTTCTCAAAGTTTGCTAATGAGTTTTAATGGCAAATTACCCCCAAGATACAACAAACCCTTGAACACAATATCTAGTAATACTATTGAGTTCCAGAACATGAATTAACTCTGTAAATTTTCTGCAGAATTAATAAAGACAGAGATGCTATTTCATTGAATAAATGCATCATCTTTAAACATTACAACCTTTCACATAAAGATACATTTTCAATGTAAAGGTATATTTTCATGAATTGATACACCTATTACAATGGTTATATCTATTGCTAATAAGTGTTCAGATATGTGTGAAAACATATCACCAATGGATGTAATGGTTCAAGACCTTTCAGATCACATAAACACACGAAAACATAGCTTTATGTAGTAATATTCGCTACAACAGATGTTTTTCCCACTGCAGTGCTCAAGCAACACAGAACTGACCCGAGAGGCCTGCACAATGGCGCAGCAGCATGAAGTTTTCCGCTGCAGCAGAGTTTTGGACAGAAAGCAGCCCTTCGGGGTGCAATGCAGGCGCCGTAGCGCGCCTGCAACGCTGGACAGGCGCTGCAGCGCCCAAAACAGGCATTGTAACGCGCCTGTTCTTCTTGCACGGGCGCTGCAGTGCCCAAAACTAGCACTGCAGCGCCTATAGCTGCTTTGATAGCACCAAATGGTGTTGTCAAACTCGCTGCATCGCATTAAACATGCGTTGCAGCGCTTCCTTGCCATTTTTCCTTGTGTTTTAGGCCAATTTTATGTGATCTTGTAATTGAGAGACATATTACAATCTCTCTAATAATTCCCCACTAGATTGTAATATTTCTCCAGAATTAACAACAATAAACACATACACACATGAAGTTATCTTTTGATTTTAACCTCCAATTAGTGACTATACTTGTTGCAAAAATTTGACTATTCTTGCAAGTGCACAAGTCGTACAAGTAATAAAGTGGTCCGAAGACCGATATCGTCCCACGAGGATTGACGTTAAGAATGTAAACTAACTATTGCGAATATCATATCTTAACTTTATCTAAGCGATCAAATTTGAATGTGATAAACTCAAAGAAAAACTAAAATAAAGGAAAACTAAATTAAAAGGAAAGATAATAGTAATGAATAACACGCGCTGAAATTAAAATGGAAAATCAATATGATGGCAATGTTAGGGTTTCAACTTCACTCTATTGCGATTATGTTTCTCCGTAGTAATGTGCCTAACCTAGCTCAATGTTCTCAAGAACCTAGAGTGCTGTGTATCCTTATATCCTCTCTCGAGTGCCGCATAAAGAATGTGTAGGTGATATCAAGCCTATATCTCTATACAACTATTCACCCCTACCTTCATTAAGTTCCACTCTAGAAACAATTCCTGGAATTCCACTTCTCAATTTCACAACATAAAATTGTTTCGGCTACCTAGGCAATGTTTATCTCTCGACCTCACACCAACCTAAGTTGTTCTACCCATTTCTGGATAGCTCGAATGTTCCCCTCTCGAGTATTAATCGTCACAATCTAAATTTGCCCAATTCACAATCTCACAAAGCATGGCAATATGTAAATCATAAATTTGGCAGCGACAAATCAAAATAGAACACGAAAGAAACGAAGAACTTTAATTTAATGCACATTAAAACGTGGAAACAATAATCACAAATAGAGATTCATCTAAACCCTAACAATTAGGAAAATTAGCTCCACATCATGTGGTTCACAATCTCAAAATAATATTCAAAACCTAGAAAAATACAAGAAGAAAGGTAAGAAGAGAACGAAGAACGCTTGGAATTCTTGAAGAATCGCTCCAATTTCCCTCTGTAATCCTCTCCAATTTTTGTTTTTCTTCCTTTGCAATTTTGTTTTCTTTTTCCTCCTCCTCTCCTTTCAGTTTTCGGTCACCCTCCTTATATTCCACGTCCACGCCTCCAAAGAAGCCAATTTTGACTTTCCATAAAAGTATGCGCACCAGCCTAGGGTAAAACGCGCGTTTCTAATAAAATTGGGTAACTCAGGCGACATATCGCCACAAAGGAAGCGACATATCGCACCTCTCACTGTTCCTTCGTACAGGTTTGCTCGATTTTACTCCTTTTCATGCTGCGTCGCCATCTGAAGGCGCCGTATCGCCTCATTCTATGTCTTTTTGATCCAAAATGCCTCAAAACTCGGTGATTTCACCCATTCCTGTACACTCAAGGGAAAATAATCAAATCCACATAAAAGCTTGAGGAAAAACATGCCGAAACTAGCTAAAGGAGTAACGAATGAGTGCATAAATTATGCACTCATCAATACTTCAAAGTATTCACAAGACAATAGTGTGCTTTGCATTAAACTTTGCCTCTTAAGCAAATACCGGAAATATATCACATATGTGTTATCCCAGACTTAAAAATTTGTTCCAATCATTTAGCACTATTCCGGCCTTGTGCTCTATCTTGGATTCATGAACATTTACAAGACTAAACCATGGTATTGTTAGGAATGACACCATTCCTTATGTTCACTTAGGTGAATTTTCGAATTATATATCTAGCTACTATGAGACTCGAACTCTATTAAGAGTATAAACTCAATCTCAACCATGTAGGTATTTTACACCGACATCTTGGAAGGGACTAATTAATTTCGGTGCTAACCAGGTCACAATGACTTGTTCTTACCCATTTAACTATGGAATAGCGATACAACTACTACATAGTTGGGTTACCATCATCGGTGACTCTTTCAAAGAAAGGTTTCAGTCCTATTCCACTAGATGTTTCTTTGACCAAGTCTCTTGAAAGACCTTTCGTCAAAGGATCCGCTAGGTTCTTGTTTGTCCTAACATAAACAATATTGATAACACCATTGGTTATCAATTGTTTCACATATTCATGTCTCAAGCTAAAATGTCTAGATTTCCCATTATAAACCTTGTTATAGGCTCTAGACAAAGTAGCTTCACTATCGCAACACAATAAAATAGATGGCATCGGTTGTGGCCACAACTCAATATCAAACAATAGATTTCTCATCCATTCCGCTTCTTTGCCCGCAGTGGCAAGTGCTATAAACTCACTCTCCATCGTAGAATGAGTTATGCACATTTGTTTCTTAGAAGCCCAAGAGACGGCTCCTCCAACAATTGTGAAAATCTAATCGGATGTGGATTTGTTATCACTTGCACTTGTTATCCAACTTACACCCGAGTACCCTTCAAGTACCGCTGGATAGTCATTATATGACAAACTAAAATTAATGGTTCTTTTAAGATAACCAAGTACTCTACCAATTGTATTCCAATGTTCTATACCCGGGTTACTCGTGAACCTAGACATTTTGCATACAGCAAATGCTATGTTGGGTTTTGTACAATGTATGGCATACATCAAGCTATCAATCGCACTAGCATATTCTAGTTGTGCTACCGCTCAGCCTGCATTCTCTAGTAATTTAATACTAGAATCACATGGGGTATTCGCTTCTTTAAACTTTAAATGATTGAATTTAAGAAGCACATTCTCAATATAATGAGATTGACACAATGAGTAACCCCCATGATGACGGGTATTTCTACCAACAAATCAAGTACTTTTAAGCTTGAATATTTGTAAGTTTTCAAGCATTATTGTTAGTTTAATGTCTTTTGTATGCTTTTTATAGGAACCAGAAATAAATGCGAACTTGGATGATTTTGCATGAAGAAAAGAAGAATATTTGCCCAACTTGTGAATGAATGGCAAGAGGAGGCGAAAGAGGATTTTAAGGCACAAAAGAGGAGGCTTTGGAATGCAAGAAAGTGGGCTACAACGCGTAAAGGAAAGCCAAGTCAGAATGAGGTGCGTGCCCACGCCCTAGTCCCCTGCGCGCCCGCGTCCTGGCCACCAGGCGCGCGCCCACGCGCGCCCCACATCCAGGCACGCGCCCCACACCCAGGTGCGCGCCAGAAACTGTCCTGCGTGCTGCAGCGCGCCCAAACACCTGCCCCGCGCGCTGCAGTGCGTTTTCACGCAGGCTGCAACGTGCGTATGA